ACATTGAGACAATATATTCAAATAAACTTCTTTTATAAACCAATTAAACTAGATAAACCAATTAAACCTCAGCCAACAGATGAATACAGATTCATGCTGTGAAGTAGAATTGGAACCACCTGACTGTAGGAATTCTCAAGATTTCAGAAGGGTCCCCTGGAATGCACAATCCCTATGCAATGAGCTGAGGGCTCTCAGCCTCAAGGAGCTTCCTGCTGACCCTCAGGGAGAGTCCCCAACTGCTGACCCACAGCTCTGAGGAGCAACTCCACTGTCCCCCAGCATGGCTCCTTCCAGAGCCTGTGGGATCTGATCTGTGGTAGGACAGAGCCACATTAGGGGCTCTGAGGGCCCAGTCAGGCTGGAGCCAGCCGTGACACAAGGGGGTGGCAGAGGGGCTGAGGTGGCTGCTCCTGCCACAGCCAATTGCTTTGGGCTTGTCTTAAACACCAGAGAGGCAGAGGCTGGGCTGGTGGGTTGATCCTCTGCCAGGCAGTGGGTGGAAGAGGATGCAGTATGAACATAACTCCTGGCCTTGTTGAAGATGCAGTGGTGGGGAAGAAACCCCTCCACCTGCTGGGGATGGAGAGAGTGGACAGATGCCTGAAAGTGGAGCAAACTGAGACTGGTTTGCAAAAGCCAAACTATCCTACTCCTGTCCATATTCCTATTAATTTATTTACTATAGCTGGCAATGGTCATGATGCCCTCAGGCTGCTGGAGGCACAACCAAAACCTTGCCAGTGCCTCAGCAAAGGAAGATTTACAAATCCCTGCATTGAGAAGCACCGAGCCAGTGGAGCTGCTCATGCAGGGGATTAGCTGGCTCGTTGGAGGATGAGAAAGTAGGACACGTACCTGTCAGGTGACCTCCCCAGATCCAAACAGCACTTCACATGCTCTGCCTCCCAAAACAACAGATGTCCAGGATACACTGGGGCACTAGATGGATTTTTCAGACCTGGCAGCCAGAGACTAGTTTGTTGTGCCAAGTCGAGAGAGGCCAGTGTTGTTGCAGGGATAAAGAATTTACACAAATTTGGACCACAGAAACATCTTCCATCTTACAGTTATTTTACTGGTGGTTTTTAGGTCAATCTCTGGAAGAAGTGCAAGGGAAAATTTAAATGTTTCAGCCAATTTGATCTTAGAAACATCCATATAATCCAGGCCCCTCAAGGCATATAAACCCACCACAACTCTGCCAAATGGGAGAGCTGTTGGTAAGCACAGCTCAGGCCTACCCCAGGCATAACTGGCCCTGTGTCCCCATTTGGGCTCCCCCCGGTTTTTTGCTGGCTCCCCGTGCTGCCCAGCAGCGTCAGCCCCTCCTGATACCTGTGCTGGTGCTGCTGGAGCCAGGAGCCACCAGTGCCAGGTGAGCCTGGCCAGCCGCACCTCCAAAGGGCACCCAAACCCCTGTGCTGCAGAGGGAACCTGCAAAGGGCACCCAAACTCCTGTGCTGCAGAGGGAACCGCGGTGTCCCGCTCTCATCCCAGAGGGACACAGGCAGGAGCAGGCAGCGAGGGAAGGCAGAGCAGACACCCGCCCGCTCGGCGGCAATGTCACAGCATCTCCTGCTGAGGGTGCCACTGGGCGCTGGTGGCCCCTTGCCCCGTGACAAGGGGTGACACGTGAGCCCCCTGCTACGGGCTGGCTGTGGCAGCGACATGATGTCCATGCACATCCCCTGGAAAACTCTTCCAGCCTTCTGGAGGCGGACGGAGGAATCTGGGATCCAGCTCCCCGG